AGAGGGCTGGACACGGAGAGCGAGGGCCGGGCAGGGAGAGCGAGGGCTGGGCACGGCGGCCTCACCATTCTCTATCATCATCAGCGCGTCCTGGCAGCCTTCCCCCACGTCGCAGGTGGTCTGGCCGGCGGTCCAGCTGAGAGGCAGCTCTGACAAGCCGTTGGCGTTCCGCAGCGTCCCGTGCTGGCATGTCAGACCCCCTGCAGTTAGGAGGAGAAATGGCTCCTGGAGGACCCTGCTTTGCTCTGACTTTCACTCTGTGGAGCAAGGCCACTCGGGCCTTCAGTATGTGGTGTGGAATGCAAGTTTGTCAAGCAGAAGTTGAAGACCCAAGGTTACCCAAAGTCAGGCTTGTGGGAATGTGTGTGTGTGTGTGCTCGCGCGCGCGCGCCCATGCCCATGTACACATGTGGAGGCCAGAGGTTGGGACTGGTTATGTTCCACCTTGTCTTTTTTTTTTTTTTTTAAGGATGTTAGTTTTTTTTTTTAAGATTTATTTATTTTATTATGTATACAATATTCTGTCTGCATGTACACCTGCACGCCAGAAGAGGGCATCAGATCACATCATAGATGGTTGTGAGCCACCATATGGTTGCTGGGAATTGAACTCAGGACCTCTGGAAGAACAAGCAGTGCTCTTAACCTCTGAGCCATCTCTCCAGCCCCCACCTTGTCTTTTGAGACACAGGCTGTGGCTGAACCCCGGCTTCCCGGCTTCCCGGCTTCCCGGGGTCAGCCAGCCCTGTGCTTGGCGGTTTTATAGGAGTTCCGGTTCTGAGCTCTGGACTTCAGTCGTGTGGCAAGCACTTTCCCTGCGGAGCCACCCCTGTCTCTACACTCCCTCCCCGAAGCTCTGAGGGTTAAGATGACACGGACATGTCAGCAAACGGAGGCAGGGACAGGTAACAGAGTGCGCCCAGGCAGTGGGAGACACCTCATCCATCTTCCATCCTGTGAAAGCTTCCCTCAGGAAACTCAGCTGCCACACCGTGGCCACCCTCGGGACCACTCCACTTAGTGCTCGCCTTCTCCGTCATACCTGAAGCCCTGGTGGTTGGCTCCTGGACTTTCTTTCCTTTGGAGCGAGGCTGCTGGAGGTCAGAGGGGATGATGGGAGAGGATGATGGCGAGGCCAGAAGTGGTCCAGGAAGCTTGAGCCCCAGGGTGACTGTCCCTGTGCAGAATGGGGACAAACACGCTCAGGACAGCCAGCAGGAGGCTGTGACCTGGCCCTTCCCACTGAGCTGGCCCCTCCACGAGGACAGCCACCTGCGCTCACATGTTCCAGAGCTGTGTAAAGCTCCCCTATGTGCCTGTCTCCTGGGGCTGCGCTCCCTCCTTCCCTTCCCTTCAACACAGCCTCCCTGGAAAACCTCCTCACTCACTACACCTGGGAGTGCCCCGCCCCACAGGATCACAACCGCCCAGGCTGAGGCAGGGGAGTGCCTCCTTTTCCTAGGTGAGACTCACCTGACCAGGAACCACACTTCTCCCTCACAACTAAGGGTCCGATTGCCTGGGTGCCACCCAGCAGGCTGCAGCCAGCCTGTGGCATGCAGCCCTGAACACTCAGCTCGGAGGCCATGGCTGCTGGGAAAGGAAGACAGGGTGCAAGCCTCAGAGGCCAGCCGGAGGCCAGCCCTGCTCCCTCTGCGCCTCATGCCCAGTCCCAGCTAACCCCGGCTCCCCAGACTCTAGATCTCCCCCTACCCACACCCCTGGGGTCCTGGGCCAGGCTCACCCCCTCACCCACACCCCGGGTCCCCGGCCAGGCTCACCTCCCCTGAAGCTGAGGACCCCGCTGTAGCAGTGCGTAGTGCCCGCAGGGCAGGCCTGTTCTGGGGCATTCTTGCACCCGTTTTTGGAAAGGCAGAGTGGGCAGCGCAGGGTCCCTTGGCCTGGAGGTGACAGCGACAGTGAGGTCAGCCAGAAGATGCACCCACCTCCCCAGCTTGCTTCCTCAGCAGCCCCCTGAGGCTCTGGCTGGCACAGATCAGCTGGGCATCACAGGTCAGTGGGGGAGGGAGGGCGAGGGCATGGGGGACCCGCAGAGACTCTGGTGGAGGTCATGTGGGTGCGGGGGCTGGGAAGGGGTGAGACAGGGCACAGACAGAAGTGAAGCCGTGGCCTCGGAGGAACTTCTCTAGGCATCGGAGAAAACCACTGTGTACTCAGCAGATCTCCCAGCAAACCCGAGTGCTGTGCTTTTTGCAGCACAGGGCGAAGTTCTAGGCCAGGGCTGGGGGACTGGCCTCGGGGAGCCAAGGACCTGCTCGGTTCCTGGCACCCACGTGGAAAGGCAGCCCCCCCCCCAGCCCTAAGACCGAAGAGGAGGCCTGAGCCCAGAGTGGCCCTTGCGGCTCAGCCTGATCTGTGAGCTAGCTCCGGGCTCCAGGGAAACACAAGCTGGACGGTTTCTGAGGACGAGCACCCCAGACCAGCCTCTCGTTCTACACACTCACACACATATGCACGCACCCACCGGACACACGGTCCACCCATGTCCTCACACGGCCAACCAACCAATCGGCAAGCCGGAGGCCAATGCCCGACCTTTCCTTGGGGAAAGGAGATGCAGAAATGAGAAGGACAGGCTACTCGAAGAGCTGGGGGGCGGGGAGGGGTCACACTCCGGAGCTGAAGGCTGGTGGTTTGACCCGTGGCTCCAACCCCACTGTAAATGCTGGCGGGATCGTTCTGAGGCGAGACGGAGGGAGGGGAGGGGAGGGATGGCGGCCCAGTGACCCGGAGGAGGGATGGGACAAAGGGCAGGACGGAGCGGAGCGGGAAAGGGAACCCCAGCCCCTCCTCTTCCTCATGATGACCCCTCCCCAGCCCTCCTACCACTCTTCCTCCCCGTGGCACCTGTCGTTTTGGGTAGGTCCCCAAGAACCGCAGTGCTGGACACATCATTACAGAAGTCGCCGTGGCACACGCGAGTGTAGGCGACCAGAGAGAGCCCAGGGCCGGGCCTGAGCCAGGTAACCCGGGGCGCTTGGTCCTCAGTCTTAGCACAGTCCTTGATGGAAACCAGGTGAACCTGGGGTCCTGGATGGAGAAGGGGAGGTGGGGGTGGGATTCCGGGGTCCCGGAGTGGGGCTGGGCATCCTGAGGTCGGCCAGGGGACCAGGTCCCTCCCACGGACACAGGATGCCCGGGGCAGAGGGCTCATCCCTTCTCACCGTTCTCCAGGAGCAGCACCAGCTCTTGGCAAGCCTCGCCGGCCTGGCAAGCTTTCCTCTCAGACTTCCACTCCAGGGGCAGCGCCGACACGTTCCTCACCATCTCCATTACGCCCCCATGGCAGTTCAGGGCTGGCACGCCTGGGGTGGGGAGAAGGGCCCCACTCTGGCTGGCTGCCTCCCGCCACCTCCGGGGACAGACGCCCCCTCCAGGATGGCCTCCTCACCACAGGGCAGCAGCGTGGTGACCCCCAGCAGGGCCAGCACCGGCACAGGGCTCATGGTCCCACCTTGGCTGGCAGCTTCTCCAGTGCCCCTTAAGCAGGAAACGCAGTCCCTTTATACCCGCCTGTTACCCAAGGCAGCGCAGGCAGCGCGGAGGGCGGGGCCCCACCGAGCCTGCTGCCTGAAGGCTGCTTGGCAGTCCCTCAGTCCCTCACCTGAGCCGAAGAGCAAAGAGCGCAGTTCCAGTCCCATCATCCCCCCCCCCCCCACCTAGGGACCAGCTCCCGGACCCTGCCCCACCCCCGCCCGTCAGGCTGCTGGCCTGCTCGCCACTAACCCAAGTCCAGGCCCTTCAAAGCCCAGAGTCAGGACCCATCCCTCCTTCCCAGACCCAGGGATCAGAGCCCAAGCCCTCGCCCTAGCCCTCGCCCTCGCACTCTGGCGCACAGACCCCTCCCGCCTCAAGGCCTGGAGTTATCCGGATTCCGGGTGACCTGGTGACGCTTTCCTCTCCAGCCCCCATTTGTGACCCCTACCCTGTCTCCAGGTACTCCAGGCATCCCATTTCTTCACCTCTGGGCTCCTGAGCTGCTTTCCGGCCAGGTGGGGAAACAGAGGATGTTGCCAGCACCCTGACCCTTTTTCACCTCTGGGCTCCTGAGCTGCTTTCCGGCCAGGTGGGGAAACAGAGGATGTTGCCAGCGCCCGACCCTTCCTGCTGCCAGAGCCCCAGCCCTTCCTGCCGCGCCTCTGTCCCGAGGCCACCTGTTTCTCCCTCGTTCTTCCTGCTTTCTGCTCTGCTCTCCTACCTTTCAGGCTGCTCCTTTTGTCCTCTTCCTCACAGAACAGAGGTCCCGCCCTCTCCCCTGCCCTCCCCAAGGTGGTGGCGGTGGGTAGCAGTCTGTGGAGAAGTTCTGCCTCTCCTGAGGGGCTGGGGAGATGTTGGCTCCGTGTGGAAACCCAGGGTTCAGTTCCCAGCACCCACACAGCGAGGCTCACAGCCACTGCAGCTCCAGTCACTGGCCGTTTGGCATGTTCTTCAGCCTCTTCTGGAACCAGGCATGTGACACACACACACACACACACATCTGAAAATGAAACACTTATACACATAGAACGAAAATAAATCAAAATACTTGACAATGCAAAATTTCCTTGTCTCAAAACGACTTAAAAAGTGGTATGCTAGAAAACCAGTTGTTCTTTGTTTTGTTTTGGGGGAGGTTGTTTTTCCTAGGGAAAAAAATGGCATTCATAGATGTTGGCCTGGTGTGGCGGTTAATACGCACTCAGCCGTGGAGTGCTGGGCCTGGAACCCAGGACTCGGTGCGCTAGGCAAGGGTCCTACCAGCTGAGCCCCATCCTGGTCCTTCCTTCCTCCTCCTCCTCCTCCTCCTCCTTCTTTCCTTTCTCCCTTCTTTCTTCTTCTTCTTCTTCTTCTTCTTCTTCTTCTTCTTCTTCTTCTTCTCTCTCTTCCTATCTAAAATTCACTCCCTGGGGAGGAGGGACACAGCCTCTTCCCCCTGCAAAGCCCCATGACAATCCAGGCTGCACGCCCACCGCCCACCCTGGGGGAGCAGTGGTTTTCCCGGGAGCACTGACAGAGCGTGGAGGTCACAGCAGGAGCACAGGCGCTGACCCCCTGGGCTGAGTAGCTGGCGCTCCCTGCTTAGTCTTCCTCCCCTGCATGCTTCTGGCCTGTCCCTGGGGCCACATGAAACCAGGGTGGAATTACACACACTGTTAAAAGACTGGGCTGTATGGTCAGGCGAGGGCTCATTACCCCCCGCCCCTCCCACTGCCAGCCAATAAGCCCAGCTGTGTAAATCTTTTGCAAGCTGGACCCAGGAAATAGGCCTGTACAACAGGTGCAAAATGGGGAGCCTGCCAGTTTTTCGCCTCCGGGGGTCCCGAGGCGGTGGGTATGTGGGCGCCAGGCTGCTGGAGGCCAGTCGTTGTGTTTGATCTGGAGTCAGTTCTTTGTCCTCAGCCCTCCGTGTCTGTCGCCCAGCAGCCATGAAAAGGCCGGATCACGTTAGAACTCGCCTGGGTATTTGCCTAGCATTCAGAGCCAGGCTCCTGAGCTCCGGTGCTTTGAACATTTCTTCCTTAGAGATGATGATGCCGAAAAACACTGTGGCTCCCTTACTGGCCTGAAGAGGAAGCTCTTTTCTCCGGGGTTTTCCCGGTTTCAACCTTGGCTCCAGTCACAGCCCTAATCTTTCTGCATTGCTCTCCCTCTGTCCCAAGCAGGGCCCTGCACAAGGACCCTCTGTGCAAAAGGTCAGTGGAGGGAAAAGTACCGCCATTCCATCCATCTTCAGAACTTCCCAAGGCATGGTTCCTCTTTCCCCCATCACCACCATTATCATCACCATCAACACCCTCATCATCACTACCATCACCATCATCATCACCACCATCATCATAATC